CAGGAGGTTGGATTTTATGCTAAGAGTAATGGAAAGGCATTGATGGCTTTTGGAAATGCCTATTATAAAATATTTCAGCCAATCAAGAGTGTCTATAAGATATAGTGACGTTTGAGGTGTAATATAATAAGTAAACACTCCTGTACCCTTCACTCTTCCCTCCTCATTTCTCACTACTCCATGGAGGTAGTTGTTATCCAGAAGTTTAGTTTGTAGTCTTTGCACTTTTTCCTAATATTACAAAAATAGAGCAAAATATTGCTTGGTTTTGAACTTCATGTAAATGGAATCATGCTGTGTGTGTTCTTCTGCACTTTGCTTTTCTGGTCAACGTCACGTGTGTCAGAATGGTCCATACTGGTGCCGCGGCTGCAGGTTATTCATTTTCACTGCTGCGTAGTACCCCACTGGATGCCACTGTCCTGGCTTAATTTTTCTCTTCAGACGTGACATTATTCGCTTTTCTAATGTTGAACCAACCCTACGTTTTTGGGATAAACCCAACTTAATTGTGGTGTATTATCTTTTTTTAAACATAAAACCATGGTTGGGTTCCATTTGCTGATGTTTTGTTTAGGATTTTTGTTCTGTGCTGGCAGATCACGTTGGCCTGTCGTTTTCCTTCCTTGCCTTGTCTTTTTTGGTTTGGTATCAAGGTTATACATCCCTCATCAAATGACCTGAGGGGTGTCTTCTCTTCTTTCGTCCTCTGGAGCAGGCGTGTAAGAAGGACAAAACCGTGGAAGGATTTGGTAACTGTAGCTACCACATCGTCATCCTTGTGCAACCCTCCTTTTTTGGTACAGAATCTTGGCTTCTTTAGATACAACTTGTCTACCCCTACCCCAACCACGCCCTCCCCCTAAAAAACAAAGAAAACACATCCTCCACCATGAGCACCTCAAATTGGCATGCTCACAGCTTACTTAGAAAGCTGCGTTTATGTTTTTTTGCAGGTGGATCCTTAACTCAAGATTTGAGCATGAAGAGTTGTTTCCAGGCCGCCCTGAGCCTCCCCAGGTAACCACAGGTAGGTGCCTCTCGTAACTGGTTAACAGTTTTTCTTGAAAACCCAGATACTGGATCATTCACTTATCCCTCAGGGCCACCGTGAGCGTGAGCCGTGATGGGTCCAACCCCGTGGTCCAGAGGTGAGTCTGGCCGAGCTGGGACCCCCGGCTGCCCAGCAAAGCTGCTCTGTTTTAGGGACATGTTGGAAACTATGTGATCCAAATGCTCTAGGCACAAAATTAGCTTCTTTCCCTATTTTTGAAAGGGAAAGAACACTGTACTAAATATAACATGAGTCAACAAGCCAGAAGCAAGATAAATAGCCACCAGCTGCACCTCGGGGAGCTGGGTTTCCACCCCCTGCTGAGCCAGCGAGGTCCTGGTCTCCAGGGGGAGGGTGGAATCGACCAGCAATTTCAAGCTACCATTGGACACATAACCCTGCCATGAACCCCAAAACCAAAAACCTTTGTTTCACGTTCTTACTCTGAAAGCATCCCATGCACGTTTCTGTGTTTTCTAATTCTTATTCTCCCAATAAGGAAAAGAAAATAAAAGTCATTCTAATCCCACTGCACAGAGAAAATAACTATAAACATCATGGTATGTTTAATTTGAGTGTTTTGAAATTTAATATAATACATTAAATAGTGTTTCTCAACCTTTTTTCCCCACTACTGACCCCTAAGGAGTCTTTCTAGACATTCTTTTTGTAATGCTCCCCCCGCCTTTGAAATTTTAATACCGCAGTTATACGGTGTATCCGTTTGTATACTGCGGAGGGCCACAAACCATGTAATATCTAAAATTATTTTACACCATCCCCAACAACTAATTTTTTCCCCCTTGTGGGTGATCTTAACCCATTGAGAACACAGGCTTTAAATAATATTAAATAACAAATCTTTCTATACGAACCTACTGTGTGCTGGTCGCATACTGTTCTAGGTGCTTTATGTATGTTTATTTGTTGACTTATCATAAATCCCCTACGAGTGAGTACTAGAGAGCTTTTATCTCCATTTTACAGTTGTGGAAACTGAGGCACACAGAAGTTAAGTAACTTTCCCAAGGTCATACAGCTGGGAACGTACAGAGTGAGGATCTGAGCCCAGGCAGCCTGGCTGCAAAGTTCATGCTTAACCACCAAGCTGTGTTCCTTGCAACAACACATTCTGATTATAAAAAATTCGAAATACAGAAATAGAGTAAAAGGTACACTTTCCAAGCCCCCTCCATCCCCAGAAGCAATCATTGGTACGAGTTTGGGATGTGCCTGTTGTCTGGGATTTTTACCTGTGTGTTTGTATTTATGAAAATACAAACAAATTCTCTTTTTAGTTTTAACATAAGTAGGATCATCCAGTCTTTTTTCCTATGTACTCATATACACATATCTGTGTATAGAATTTTTAAAATTAGAATCACACTGAACATACTATTTTTTAAGCTTATTTGACTTTAAAGTATATCATTAGCTGCTTTAAGACCGTAATTTAATAAGTGCATGTACAATATTTTATTTAACCAGATCCAGATTATTGGCTATTTAAGTAGTTTCTAGTTTCTCACTTCTGTAAAGCTATGATGAATATCCTTGCCTTGTATATAATTCTTGGAAGTTGGAATTACAGAACTAAAGGCTGTAAACATTTTTGAAACTTTTGATCCATAAATGCCAAAATTTGCCATCCAGAAAAATTGTTTGCAATTGCCCATCCCAACACCCTCAGGTATTATCGCCTATTTTCAATCATTGACAATTTAACCGGCCAAAAACATGTGGATCCTGTCATTTTCATCTCTGCCCGTGACTCTCACTTGGGGCCTATTTTGCTCACGTGACAGCGTAAGGGAAAGCTTGAGCTGAGAATTAATGAGAGCGGGGAGGGAGGGAGGGAGGTCAAAATGGCCCCAGTCACTAGTTTAATGATCACACCATCAGCTTCCCAGGTACAAGGCCTACCTGTCGGGTGCTTAGGAGGTGCCCAGTAAGTGGCTTTTTCCTGCTTTCAGCATAGGCCTCGGGCCACACCTCTCCACTGCTGAGCCCCAACCTCTGGCCTTGTCTCAGATCCATTTGGCAGAACCGAGGCATTCCTAGGGTTGCCAATCCCCTCATCCTTCCCTTTGCAGGCCATGAGTGATTATGAGAAATGAACACCCTTGTACGTTTGTGGGTACATATGTACGGTAGACTGTTCCCAGCTGGTCCGTCTGCAGCCGTCTGCAGCGGGGTCCCTGTTCAGTGCCTTGCATGCATACACATACATGCTCACACACCAGTACACGGGCATCTGAGTGCACATTTATACACACATATGCATACACACACACGCACATAGTACAGTGCATTCAGGGTGCAGGCCCTATTATGTGAAGTGGGACTCCTCTCTCTCAGAGACTTCCCGTACACCCTCTAGCCCGAGTTAGGACACCCGGCTCCTAACTCCACAATTCCTGTACTTTCTTTGCCCTTCATTGTTATGCCTTGTAGACTGTCTTCCTGCCAGCCTGGAAGCCCTGCTCCCCCTAACTTGCTCACCAGTGTTTCTCGGTGCCTAACTCTGCTTAGCAGATGCACAAGAAATATTTGTGGAGTGAAAAAAAGAAGGAACAGACTTCAAGCTGATAAAGGATGTTATCCCAAAAATTTTTAGAGTATTTTCTAACAAAGTGGCCAGTTTCAGATTGAGCCCATTGTTTGATGAGAAAATATTTCTGCAGCATCAGATTTCAAGTGGCCTGGTTAGCCGTCTTTTGGAAAGATCGAAAAGAATGCAGAATTGAAAACAGGACCGTGCCATCTAAACATCTGTCAAGTTTTACTCTTGTACAGAGGTTACTGTCGCAGGAGTATCAGTGAAGAGTAGTTAGCCGGGAGCTCTGCTCGCTGGTCCTCCTGGCCCCTGGAAGTGTTCTAAGCTAAAACTTCAGGTGACTCGCTTATCTGGCTCACTGTCCTGGCTGACAAATGGTTCTGCCATCCCAGGACGGCGCCTGCTCCCTTTAGCACAAGGCTTTGGAGCTGCTTCACGGGAAGAGGGTTTCTCGTCCAGCTGGGCACAGCTGCCAAGATGAGGAATGTGCAGGCTTCTGCCCCTTTAAGGAAAGCAAAACTCCACATGCCTGAAGAGAAGCCTTTCTTCCAGGATGGCTTCCTGTGGCCTCTATTCATTCATTCAGTTGATTGAGCAGACATTCTGTGAGTGCTGCGATGTCCCAGGAGCAGAGATGGAGAAGATGTGGTCCCGGGAAGAGAGAGACTCAGCACAGTAGTTGCTGGGGGCTGGTGGGAGTGCATGGAAGGGGCAGCTGAGCGGGGGTGATCAGAGAACTGCAGAAATGCTGGAGGGGGTGTGCAAGAAGGGCCAGGTGAGAGATGAGAGGGAGAGGTAGGGCCAGGTTAAGTCAGCCACGAGTGTGATTCTGTGGAGCCTGGATTTCCTCCTGTAGGAAACGGGGAGCCATTGAGGGCAGTGAGCAGACGGCGGTAGGCTGTGTGGACTGGGACATATCATTGAGATGCCTGTCACCCAGATGATTCTGTTACAACTGTTGATCCCGGCTCATGCATGCCACTGTTCACTCTCCTCGCCATACCCCATGAGAGTCGAGATTTTACTGCATTTCATTAAATGCCACAAAATGCCTTAATGACCCGGAGCTCTGACCTCCCTGGCCTCCTGCAGGGAAAGGTCTGGCTTTTCCTTTTCGGGTAGGGGCAGGCGGATCGGCCTGCCTCCTGCATGCTCACAGAAGGAACACCAGCACGTAGGACATCTGGAATGCATCAGAGGCGAGGCCCAGCCGGAGCCCGTGGCTCAGTCCCACTTCTTACCTCTTCCAAGAGCACGGCCGCTGTGTTCACAGCAGCGTCTTGAGTCAGAGCTGACTTTTCTCTCTCCTCTTTCTGCTTCCCTTCCAGACCTCCCTGCCGCCGTTATCCACACGGGATGCCTCGCATCTGCTTGAAGTCATCCCTCGAGAGTTCAGCTGCTCTCTTTTTACTTTGGCGCTAAGGAATTTGTGTAGTGCGCTCAAGGGGGTTTTGTCGCTGCTGTTGCTGCTTTCCGTTTATTTATTTTCTTTCTTTGAACTGGGCCGTGCCCTGCCGCCGCTGGCATGATGGCCCAGTCCAAGGCCAACGGCTCGCACTATGCGCTGACCGCCATCGGCCTGGGGATGCTGGTCCTCGGGGTCATCATGGCCATGTGGAACCTGGTACCCGGCTTCAGTGCCGCCGAGAAGCCCACAGCTCAGGGGAACAAGACCGAGACAGGGAGTGGCATTCTCAAGAGCAAGACCTTCTCCGTGGCCTACGTGCTGGTCGGGGCGGGGGTGACGCTGCTGCTGCTCTCCATCTGCCTGAGCATCCGCGACAAGAGGAAGCAGCGGCAAGGCGAGGAGATGGCGCACATCCAGCACCAGCCGGGGGCCGAGCCTCGTGCCCAGGAGGAGGACAGGTGAGGGCCGGCTGCCCCATCCGGACCGGGGGATGCGCACGTGCACACACTCACGGGGGTCAGTGAGGAGAATGTTTTAGTCCAAGAGGCTTTACCTTCCCACTTTCTCCCATTCAGGCTCTGTAGAACGGCTTGTTACTTTTATAGTTCTATCCCAGTTTCCCAGATAATGTGGTATGAATGGATTACAGGTGTACCAAGATTTTGACACCCCCAGGGAAGCTGCCTGGGGTGGCCAGAGCCCCCAGAGTGGCTGCTTGCCCATTCACTCCGGTGTGCTGTGTGTATATGCCTTGAGTTGGAAAGGTTGGGAAGCAGGGTTCTATTTGACCAAAAATGCCACAAAGAAATTTAAAAGATGAGTGATAAATTGGGGAATATATGATAAAGGTTGACGTCCCTATGATAAAAAGAGCCCTCACAAATGAGTATGAAAGGTGAACACACAAGCAGGAAAATAGAGAGAGGATATGAGCAAGCATTTCATAGATGTTTAAACAATAGATGTTCAACTTCACTAGTCACCAAATGCAGACAAAAAGAAGGCATCGTTATTCTTTGCCCATCATATTGGCCAAGATAAACAGCCCCCGGTATTAGAGTTGTAGGGAAAAGGGTTGCTGATGAGAGCGCTGATGGACATAACCTTTCTGAAGGGGAGTTTCACATTAGGAGGCAGTATTGAAGATGTGCGTACCTATCGATTCTATTCCTAAGACCTTATGCCTGGGAGACAGTTACACAAGTGCAAAGGAATTTGTACCCATGTGTTTATCAGAACATTGCTCAGAATAGCAAAAACTGAGAAACAACCTAAATATCCATCATTCGAGCTAAATGATGACACACTCATTCAATGGCTTTCTGTGCACCATTGTTGATCTCTATTTGCTGATGTGGGACCCTGTCCACCACACTGAGAAAAGGAAGTGATAACAGCATCTTTGGTAAGGTCATCATCGCATCCAGTGTCGTGGCTGTGGGATTAGAGAGGGCTCTGGAAAGGATACAGCAGAATGGTAACAGTGGTTATCTCCAGGTGGAAGGATTTGGGATGTTTTTATTTTCTTCATTAGATTTTTGTGTGGTGTTTGAATTTTCTACAAGTATGTCGTATCTTTATGGGGGGAGGGAGTTGTTTTTATTTGGAAAAATTAAACCTATTTTCTGATAATAAAAGATAATGCATGCCCATTCTAGAAAACTTAGGAAATACAGAAAAGAACCAAGAAGGAAAATCAGTCACCCATAATAACCTACCCCGGCCATGAGCACACACAAGTTCGTTCCTAAAGGAGATGAAAAGACAACAGGGAGGTTTCTGATACTGGCCACTATCACCCACAGCTTCAAGTGCAGGGTCCTGGAAAATGGCTGTTGGCATTACTCCCTGTAAATGTGTACCAAACGCCCTGGCTTTTTGGCTTTCTCTTTCAACGGTCAGATAGGAGTAAGGCTGAGGACGTCACCTGTCCTTTGAGTCTTAAAGTGAACTCGGAAGATAAAATTGTAGAATAATTTGAAATACATATAAATTTTATACTCAGATATTCCTTCTCTACCTGGGGACACCATTTTGCTTCAAACTGGCCGCTATTTTATGCATGTTTATGTTGCCTTTGGCCAAAAGACCCAGCTGGGCATCGGAATATCCCACTCAGCATGTTGTTAAATGTGAGGCTTAAAGGCAAGGGGGTTTAACCCCCAGATAATCCGGGGTAGTAATTGAGAGTGTGGCGTTCAGTTCCCGCCCTTCCACTTCCTGAAGGTATGACCAAGTCACGTAACCTCGATGTATCCATTTCCCCATCTATAAAATGGGTATGATAATAGTACCTAACTCATAGTGTTGTTAGGAAGATGAAACTGGTTCATATGTGTTAAAGTATTTGGAACAGTGCCCCGCTCACAGCAAACAGTTGAAGTGTTAGCTTTTATTACTTCTAGCACCCACTTGTCATTTACAAGGCTGGTGTCTGTGGACCCAATGCCAACACAGGATTTGGAGTCCATCTATTTGTGATTGTAAATGACCTGAGCGCATGTTAATGCTCTCCCTGTCGGTGTCTCTTGTCTTGCAGCCAGGAGGAGGAGGAGGTCTCCTCAAGGTACTATGTCCCCAGTTATGAGGAAGTGATGAACACTAACTACTCAGAGGCGAGGGAACAGGACCAGAACCCGAGGATGAGCATCTCCCTCCCCTCCTATGAGTCCTTGACGGGGCTTGACGAGACGGGCCCCACGACCACCAGGGCCGATGTGGAGACCAGCCCGGGGCATCCACCCGACAGGCAGAACTCCAAGTTGGCCAAACGCCTGAAGCCACTGAAAGTTCGAAGGATCAAATCCGAAAAGCTTCACCTCAAAGACTTTAGGATCAACCTCCCAGACAAAAATGTCCCTCCTCCCTCCATTGAGCCTTTGACGCCCCCGCCACAGTACGATGAAGTCCAGGAGAAGGCCCCCGACACTCGGCCACCAGACTGACGGCCCCCAGGTGTGTTCCCTCCTGTCACTCACCCTCCGCACCAACAGACCCCCCGTGAAGCCACATCAGCTGCAAGGAGAATCGGAGGGGCCAGATGCATCCTTAGCAGTTTGGATGGGGGTGGGGGGCTCTGTGACGTGGGAGTGACTGATGACCGCAGAACCTCGGGTAGCAGGCGCGGGGGACGGAGATGCTGCCTCGGCTCTCATGATGTCGTGGGCCCATCGAGGGGTGAGACCAGCATCTTCCCCCTCGTTTTTCTTTGACTCTGAATCGTTGACGACAACACTCGTCTTTCCATTAGGAAAGGATACCTAGCAACTGGTTAGATTGTGGTTTTGTTTGCTTTCACTCGGACTGTTTTGTTCTGCCTTTGCTTTCTTCACTGGAGTCCTGAACTGCGGGTAGGGAATATGACTCAGCTTTGTGGAAAGGACGCGGGGCCATTTCGTGAATGGAGCGAAACAAGAGGCTGCACGATTATGTGGGGTGAGGTCCAGCTTGGGCTCTCAGAGCCCCTGATGCCGTCGGGTCTTTGAGGGCTCAAGGCCTGGCGATGCGTAAGGTCGTAGTCTTACCTGGTGCCCTTCCCTAGTCTCTCCTGTGTCACAGCAAAAAGGAAGGCTGTGCGAGGTATTCTGTTCCTTCCAAAATGCCATGCAGCTTAGCTTTTTATAATAAAATATTTCGTAAGTAGGATGTTTTGGTGCTGAATTACTTTAGCAGCTCTTCCAGAGCTGACTTGCCTAGGGAGAAATATCACTGATAATGATAATAGCGTATACGTACCAAACACTCAGTATATGCCAGGCGCTGTGCCTCACATATGTTACCCCATTTCATCTGTGCCCCAGTGTCACTACCACTTTGTAGGTTAGCTCGTGGAGGCTCAGGTTAAGGAAAGTGCCCCATGTCACACCGCTAGGAAGTGGCAGAGCTGGGATTTGAACCCAGGGCATCTGGCTCCGGGGCCTGACTTCTTAAACGTTCTACCGTGCAACTCAGTGTGAAGAGCTTTTTCAGACTTTGAATGAGGACCTGTGCTCCCCAAGAGCTGAGGCTGGCCCATCAATCCACATGCCCGACAGAAAGTTCTAGTTGTTTAGACAGCAGCTCTCTACCTGTCTTAAACATCTTTCTGCCATCTCTCCTGAGAACTGGCCCAGGAGGCAGCTGACGGGCTGTATGATCATGTAGGGGGTGGGGGAGTCCTCACGGAGAGGGCAAAGTGCCCACCTGTGGGGCCCAGGAAAGCAGTTCAGCTAATGAGAATGCCTGGGGGGTTGCAGACTGCTGAGGCTGGGCCAGGGGAGAGGGACAGAGACATCTGGGGTCAGGCTCTGGACCATGGAGTGGGAGTCTGGGAAGACAGACCGGGGTCCAAAGATGCCTTCTTGGAATTGGTGAGCGTGGAGCGGGCCTGCTGGGTGGCCGCGTGCCTGGAGCTTGGTTGGAAGAGTCAATTCTCAGGCCCTGGCTGTTTCCTAAAAGCTCCCGTGGGAGGGAAGGGGCGGCAGTTGGTAAGTGAACCACCTTTTATCTCAGGATTGGCAGCAGTGCCTACATTCCAACCTTTCACTTTCCTCATCAAATCCGTCTCTGAAAAAGGGAGCCGCAGGGGTCTGCTCATGGCCTGGGACACCGGGGGCCTGGGCTGGTCCCAGCCCACTTCTGAGCCAGCTGCGGCTCCCTGCGTATCTCTGGGCTGGCCGCGTGCTTCAGTTCCTCTTTATGCTTCCACCCACTGGAGGACAGACAGGAGGAAGAAGAGGGGAACAGCAGGGCTCCAAATGAGCCGAAAAACGACTTTCTAAAGGCTCTCAATCTGGCCTCTGTTGACGTCTGTCGGGGCGTCTGCCCAGCCTAGACCCTCCTTGGGAGAGAAAGAGTTGCGGTTTGTAGTGGGCTGAATGGCCCCCTAAAGATATCAGGCCCTAGTCCCTGAACCTGAGAATGCTACCTTACATGGTGAAGTTTCTGCTGCTGTGATTACATTAAGGATTTTGAGATGCATTATCCAGGTGAGCCCCACAGGCCATCCACAAGTGTACTTGTAAGTGAGAGCCGGGGGAGCTGCCATACACAGGAGAGGAGGAGGCAGTGTGACCACGGAGGCAGAGCTCGAGTGAGACAGCCACAGTCAAGGAATGCCTGGAGCCCCAGAAGCTGGGAGAGGCAGGGACAGGTCCTTCCCTAGGGCTTCCGAGGGAGCTCCGCCCTGCTGACCCCAGTAGACACTGGGCCCAGTAGACGCTGATTTTGGACTTCTGGCCTCCAGAACTGTGGGAGGATAACTTTCTGTCGTTTCAGGCCACCAGGTTTGTGGGAATTTGTTACAGAGGCCTTAGGAAACTAACACAGGCTCCATCTTGAACAGTTTAGAGACCAGCCCCCCTTCAACCTGCACACTTTGCGGCTTTTCCTACAGGCAGGAGTGCTGTGGAAATCCCAGTGAGGACCCTACTTGTATTGTAGGTGTGGAAATGATCAAATAGAAAATTATTCATATTAGCCACAGAATACGTCATGGATATTTAGCATGTAAAATGGAGCCTGAGTTCACCTCTGTCTAAAAGGAAGGCAGAGAGAATGTTAGCTGGGAACGTTAGCTATAGGCTGGGGTCCTATAAAAAAAGCTAAAAAGGTAAAAACCAGAGGAAAGACCCTAGCCCTTCCTTTCCTCTCCCTCATGTTTTTGTTCTTAAGGTAAATGTAAGAAGACAGAGATGGGGGAGGAAATTCAAGAAGCCATTTACTTGTTCTTGGACCCTAAATGACCCCGGGGCTATGAAAGACCAGAGAGAATTCCCACTCGGCACTCCCACCCCACCCAAAAGGAGGAATCAGCAGCCATATTGGTGTCACATGACCCTCACCCTCTCAGGTCACAGCTGATTGGACCTGCCGTATGTGATCACCTGACCCAGGAGAACCAATCAGAAGCTGAGCTGGGCTAGGCCCTTCCCTCCCGGGAGTTGGTCTTGAGATGGATGGAGAGGCCGTTGGGTGACGTGGTCTCGGGGACTAGGGGGCCATTTGGGCGCCATCATGAGAGCCCACAGGTGAGGGAAGCAGAGAAAGCTGTTCTGCAGAGAGAATGAAGCTAACTGCTGAGAGAGGCAGACATGAACAATGAGACCCAGAGAGGATGTCTCCTGATGACTTTCTGGACGTTGGTCCTTGTATCCTGGAAGCCCAGCTGCACTTCTGCCCTTGGGTTCCATAAGAGATGCTGTGTCCTCCCAATAGAGTCCCCTTTTTAGCTCTGATCCTAAATTTAGCCAAAGTCCTTGACGGCGGGCACTGCCTTTGCATCATAGGCAGTGCTGGGCCCAGAGTGGATTCTCCACCTAGTCTCAATTTTGATTTTCACTTTTCTCGGACTGTTTACAGTTCTGACGAAGGGGAGCCCCAAGCAGATGATGGAGGTATATGATTGTGTGGGAGCACGACTGGGAGTGCAGGGTAGAGCACGGCCTGCTGTGTGTGTGCGCGGCTGCCCCAGCCAGATCCATCCACACATATGTCCTGAGCTCCCGTTATATGCCAGGCACTGTTCTAGGCTTGAGGACAGCAGTGAAACCACAGCCCTGCTCTCCAGGGGAAGGGTTCTTTCTCGGGCAGTGCTTCCCAAAGTGGGTCCCCTGGCCTTGGGTGACAATGACCATAGTCATTCTGGACTGCCTACTTGAACTGGGTGCAACAAACTTGAAAGCTGCAGGGGAGCCATGTGCACAGGGAAAGCTGGTCTGCAGGAAGCGACGACTGAAGCAGAGGTCCACAGAGGAAACTGCCCTGCACCGAAAGACATACAGAGATCACTGCTTTGCGTTTCCTGGCCTGGGTTCTCCTCAGCCTGGGTCCACTCACTGTCCTCGGGTCTATGGATGCCCCCGGCTGCTTTCAGTAGTGTCCTATGTTTGCTTAAACAAGTTGGAGTGGGTTTCTGTTACTTGATGCCAAATGTCCAGAGATGACTTGGTTCTGGATGGACAAGTGTGAGATGGCAAAGCCAAAATAAGTCCGCAAGGGTCCAGCAAGACTGACAGTGGGACACAGCTGTATGGTGGGAATGGATGGATCAGTTGAAGCACAGGCTGTAAAGGGCAGTACACAGAGAGCCCTTCTGAGGATTCACGGGCTTGTTTGTTGCCTTAAAGGCCCTGACAAGGACCCCTGAGCTCCTAGGACTAACCGTGCTGAGAATTCAAGTGTGGAGTTAGGAAAGGATAGCTAGCCCCTGTCCTGTCTGTGAGCGCAGAGGGCGAGAGAGGGGCTTTCCAGAAGGGAGGACTTTGTTTTAATCCTAGCACTGCTGCTTCCTAGAGGTATGATCTTGGGCAAATAACTTGACCCCTCTGAGCCTTGATCTCTTCACCAGCAAAATGGAGGTTACTAGTTTTGAGACGGGAATGAGAAAAACACAGGCAAAGTGTCTAAGCTGTACCTGGCACAGAGAAAGCGAGGGCTGCCTGGTGGCTGTGACTAGACCACAGTCTCCCGATGGGGGACTTGAAGACCCAAGCACTTCTGCAAGCATGAGCCTCACACTCACTTCTGAAAACACGTTCTGGGGAAATTCACCAGGCCTCGGGAGCAGACTGTGAGAAATCTTCGCAGAAAGCCCTCTCCAGGAAGACGGCAGCAGGGCCGAGTAATTAAGGCCAGTGAGGCAGCCCTGGGGTCAGCCTGGCGCTGGGCTTGGTTCCTCAGGGCACGTGATGGCAACTCCCATCACGGAGAGTGGACCATCCATTTTGTTTGATTTTCAGTCTAATGCTGTGTTGTGGGTATATTCAGAACCGAGTGACTGGGGCTAAGAAAGTGAATCTTAGGAACCACAGCTATCAGGATTTTAGACACCTCCTTTCCTGGTGAGACCCCAAGGATGTTTCCCTGGATTTTAATGGGTGGAAGTGAAAAAGGTCCCTGAGTAGATCCATTTGGGAATGGCCAAGTTAAACTAAGTCTGTGCTAGCAGCACATTTTTATTGAGCAGCTACTGTGTGCCACGTGCTGGGGATAAAGCTACAAACAAATGGACCAAGTCCCTGCTGACACAGAGGCTGCATTCTGGGTGGAGGTGGACAGATCACAAACAAATAAATAAATATATGATAAAATGCCAGAAAATGAGAAGTGCTGTGAAGAAAAATGAGGCAGGTAAAGAATAGGAGGTGATGGGATCGCCTATTTGGGTGA